GGCTTCCTGTAGATGTCCTCTATTACCTCAAACTCCTCGCGGCTGAGCTCGAACCTCGTACTACTATCTACAAAGGAAGTCCCAACAGTTAGACAAATTCAAACCTTGGCTTCAGAAAACAAGTAGGGTCTGGGAGACTCACGAGCTTCGTAGTACTGGGTCGGCACGGTGCAAGTAAGGGCTTTGTCCCCCTCCACTGCTTGCCACTTACCTCGTACCCAGAACCAAGACTCCTTCCACCCCTTGATAGAGGAAGGAAGTCCCACCACAAAAGGTGCGTGAGCCCCCCAAGGCGTGAAGTAGTACCACCCCTTAGACTCCTACCCAATCACCCGAGGCTGGAACAGGGTTATAAATACATGGAGAGGCATGTCCTCCCCAAGTGATACTTCCTTCCACAGGAAGTACAAGCCGACCAGCTGGCTCCACCCATTCGACAGAACCTGGGTCGGCGACAACATGAAGTTCCTAAGCACCGCCCTGAAAAAGGGTGCAGAGGTAGACGCATACCTGCCTTGAATAGGTATTCACTGACGGCCACGCAGTCGGGCCTCGGATAGCAGGCCCGCTCGTTCGGCTCGAGGACTAACATTTCTATGGAGTGGGGTATACTATACCTCTCCCTAAGTTTCCCCAACTTCTTCCACGTCATGTTCGAAGGTACCCTAGACGCCCCCCACTCCTGGGTATAATCTACAGGGTCCTCGGTCATGACATACCTATCCACCTCGGACTCCCCCATCTGACCGACCCCATATTTTAAAGACGCCACTGTCACTAGCTCCCTACCCGAAGTGGACTCCATTTTTTCAGTAAAAAGACAGTAAGATGGTATTTTCTGCAAAAAAATACCTAAGGGAATTCGACACAAATGGAGATTGGCCGGAAATTGAAATTACAGTCAACCTCGACGCCGAAAAAATTTGAAGATTTAAGAGAATATCAGAGTGCAAGTGTTCGAAAATCCTGAAAAATAGGATTTCCTCACATTTTATAGGGGTCCAGGACGAACCTCGGCTATTAGATCGAATCTCACTCAATCTGAGCCCTCAATTTCAGATCCAATCCGAGGTGTTGAATTCAAAGGGTTTTTCAATCCTACGCCTCAGATTCTTGCGTGCCTCCTACGCACCTCTTCCAGCCAGCTGCCCTCATAATTGCGTTTTTAATACGACAGCAGCAGGCGCCTTGGAAGTCGTAACGGTTCAGCCACTTTTCCTCGAAAACAAGCACAAGACGTCAAATCATTCTATCAAGGCACAATCATTACCATTGGACCTCGGCTTCCACCATCATTCAGCAACAAGCCTCGTAGGTTCGGTTCCTCAACCACCTCGGCTTCCTCTTCATCATTTAGCAACAAGCCTTGCAGGTTCGGTTCCTCAACCACCTCGGCTCCCTCCTCATCATTCAGCAACAAGCCTCGCAGGTTCGATTCCTCAACCACCTCGGCTTCCTCTTCATCATTTAGCAATAAGCTTCGCAGGTTTGGTTCCTAAACCACTTCGGCTTCATCTTCAAAAGTTCAACACCTCGCCTACTTCATCGCTCACCCATAGCAACACTTCTCTAACTCCAACCATGATATAAATATCTATACTTGGACTTGGGGGACTATTATTTGGTATTCAAAAATTCTTTCAATTTTTACTCCATTAAAGTTCACGCATTACATAAATGAATATATTTGAACTTGGGGGACCATTGTTGCGTGTTGTCACACCTAGCCAATCTACCTGGGGCAATGGCCCACTCATGGCGATCCACGTGACATTCCTGCAGAGATGGTACACAATGCCGAGGTAGGCTACATCCGAACTGCTTCGAGCCGACGTCCATCTGCCGAGTCTCCTTTTTGACGAGGCCTACGAATCGAAGCCAGTTGCTGAAACCTGTTGAGAGCAGTTGATGCCCTCAAGTGGAAGTATCATGACAAATGGCCGAAGCCCCAAAGCTGATGCGCGAGCCTCTGAACCACAAGAAAACATCCTCCATGGTCACTTCTCCCAAGAGATCGCCTGCACAGATCTTATTCGAATGATTGATGGAACGTTTGTCATAAGCATAAATGTCAAGTCTTGTCACTAGCTTGGAGGCCCTGCACAAGCAATAAATGCGCCGTAAGTTAGCAAGTCAAGCCCCATACCTAGGAAAAGATGTTTGAACTAAAGAGATGAGGCCACGTGCCACTTCATCCAAGGGCTCCTATTTTATATGTACTATTATAAATACTTCTCTTGTATAATATCAAAAGGCGAATGCAAGAATCAATACTAAGAACTACATTTATTCAACTCTCCCTCATTTTACTTGCAATACACAAATCAAGTTTATACACATTTACATATACATTTATGAATACCAATTGGTAATTATTGTACAATCGGATTACGAACAACCCACCAGATTCCAAACGTCACCGTCCCGCGTCGTTGGGCTACTCCCACGCCCTTTGAACCGCTCGTTTTAGACCGTCCACGTGTCTTAACGTGTTGGACATTCGTCCACGCAAGCACGGGTGGGACCGGCATCTGTTGGCGCACTTTTTGGGGTCAACATACTTCTTTATTTATTTTTTATTGTCTTAGGTTGCTAATTAACTGAATTTTGGCAATTCTAAAATTAAAAAAAAATGGAGGAATTAAACAAAATGGAAACCAATTTACAACAAGATAATAGAAAATCGTAAAGAGTATATTGGTTGCAGCAAACTTCATGGCACCAAGCTTCTCAACAAATTCCTACAAATCCTAGCTGATAAAAGTTATTTTGAATGTTAAAAAATCGCGTAAATATAGTAGGCGTAGACTTAAAATCGATCATTGTAGTCATGATCAACTACTACTTTCATTCTAAGCATTTCGCTCATGTTTCCTTTCCATTAGTGAATTTTTAACCTTTGCTTCATACATTGAATGGAGAATTTGCAAATTTTACGATTTTGAGATAAGTGGAACCTACAACTATTAGTCCAAGACCGAGCTCAAATGGTAAGATCAAAATTTTACCAGGCAAATTAACTGAGTTCGAACCTCTTTACGGTTGATAGGTTGAAATTCTTTAATCCCCTTTTAAAATTAGAAAAAATTATTATTTATCAGTTTTGCCATTCGACTCTTGTTTGGATCAATTAAAAAGTTGATTAAAATCTAAGTCAATATTAATAATTTATTTTATTCACATATTTAATAGGATTTACAATTTTTCAATGAAGCATTCATCAACTTTTATTAAAATCTACTAAAAATCTTATTTTTATCTAAACCAAACAAGGACTAGAAGAGAAAGTAATCCCATTTTAATGTTCTAGCATTATTTATTTAGATTTTTCACATTAATCAAAATTTTTCTTCTTACATAAATCCTCACATTCTTGGACTTTATTTTATTTTATTTTAATTTTGAAACAATCATGGAAGATTGGACGAGACAGGTGGGCCAGTGTGCCGCCAGGCCCGAAACTTTTCTCATTTTTTAAATATTATATTTGAAGAAGATACTAAAATATAATAAAACAGCATTAATTCTAATGAGTGTTGATTAAAGTTACGACTTTCGAAGTATTTTCAAAGAGTAATGCTATTCGTAGTCGTTCATTGCGGTAGTCGCCCTACGTATATACACATGATAAGTGATTATTTGATATATTAATATGGTAGTTTTTTTATTTATTAATGTATCAAATAACCACATGTCATATGTATGCCACGTAGGGCGACTGCCTCAGTGAGCAACTGCAAATAACATTATTCATTTTCAAAAGACCCTTTAAATATTAAATACTATCTAATTTAAAAACCTTTACAATCATACTCCGATGAACTCTTTAAATTAACATCTTAATTTAGAGAATGAATTTTAAACTCACTCTTTGTAATTAAATTTATTCAATGTATTTCAATTTTTAATGTAGAAAAATAATATAATAATTTTAAAAAAAATTAGATAAATAAAATATGTTTTAGAGTAATAAAATTAAGTATTAAATTATAAAGAGTTTCTTAAAGTATTTCAAAATTTTTACTCTCTAAATTTATAGATGCTCTCTAAATTTTAAAATATATCTTTTTTTAAAAATAGAGAATTTCCCGTCTTACAGGGTTTGACACACACCTTTCACTACATTATTATTTCTCATTTAGATAAAACTTTCAACTTTATTTTTTTCCTTCAAGCGCAGCTCTCCTCGCCAAGTGTTGTAGGCCCCCAAGCATAAGTCTTGGCTCCAATTGGAGTGCAGTTTCATCTCCCTAAAACCCCAACAATTAATACGTTTGAAGAAAATATTCAATGTCACAACCAAGAAATAAATTGGAATCCTCTAAATACATATAACATTAGGCCCCAGTTTGATACGGATTAAGTCAATATCAATAAATTTTAATTGTATATTTTCTGAAATTTTCACAATTTATTTACCAAACATTTTATCAATTTTTATCAAAATTTGCTAATAATCTAATTGTAATCCTCATCAAACAGGAGCTAAAATCTGACTTGAATTCTTTGAATCATCGGCATGCCAAGATTATAGTTTAAAACAATAAATATTAAGCCGTGCTATATAAACAGGCTACATGGCCCCCCTCGATTGGCAATGTGTGTCTCCCTTCTAATGGCAGGTTGCTTGTCATGTGTCCTCTTCGAAAAACGGGGCCAATTTGAGAAGAATTATCCATAAATATTTCAAAAACTACGGTCCCATTTGAATTGACAATGACAAGCATCATACATAGGAAAAAGGAAATGGAGTGCTTCAAAAATGATTGACAAGTTATTTATGTAATACGATTTTATTTTATTTTTTTAAAAAGGAAAGGCCAAAGAAAGAGACGTAGAAAAGAAATAGGGATCAGTTGAGATTACGTTGTATCCTTTCCCTTTCCCCCAAACACACAAAGGCCAAAAAAAGAGACATCAAACCACATAATGTCATAAGATTTAAGGAGAAGGTTTACGGCCAAACAAAACCATTCTCTACAGAGATTTAGAACCAATCATTAAGAGAATGCACAAAGTTTCAGCATACAAATAATCAAAAAAGTAGTTTGTTTGATTATATACATAGAAATGTTCATCAATATTACTAAAACTAGAACAAGTTTGGTTTATGTCGCTTGCAGAAGACTGTCAATGACCATAAATTGAGCTTTCAGAGGATTTTCCAGCAATCTTAACCACAAAAAAATAGCAAACATTTGCATATGACAGATGATTCACACTTTCTATGTTTTTTCGATCAGGGAGAAGCCAGCTATCTTAAGAAATGTTTTGACAATGAAATCTTAACCTAAGAATTAACGGATCCATTATTCAGGGTAGTAGGTTACTCAAGATTGAGCTTTCAGAGGAATTTCCAGCAATCTTAAAAAAAAGAAAAAGAAAAAAAAAGGGAAATATTTGCATAGGACAGATGATTAAGAAGCCAGCTATCTTAAGAAATGTTATGACAATGAAATCTTAAACTAAGAATTAAGGGATCCATTATTCAGGGTAGTAGGCTACTCAAGATTTTCACCAGGGAAACATGTTATTTTTTCTCTAGTCTACTGGAACCTCGACTTCCATCTTCAAACCAGAGTTGCCAACAATCTGCAAATAATATGACAAATTTCGTGACAACTGTAATGCATAAAGAAAACTGGAGACGTATACTTCAGCTCTTATCAATAAAATGATGCCACATATTTCCATGTTGAGAAGGAAAAGTTCACAAGCAGGATAGTGAGAATAGAAACACGTTAACATTTTACGACCCAGAAAAAAAAAAAAAGAAGAAGAAGAAGAAGAAGTTGCAAAACTATAATGTACAGAAGTCAAGTGACAATATGCCTTTAGACTGTCTTCTGCAGTTTATGGATAATCGTATTCCCACATCTTATGAGGTCTATAAACATGTAAATGTACCATTTTAGCAAACATAGGTGGACACGCAGGAATAAAGTTTCAAGGAAAGAAGGGTAAACCCACTACTAAAGTTTATATTACTGTACACTAATGATAATGGAAAAAGAGCAAGCTAGGTTTTTAATGCAAAATAGCTAGTCACACAGTCCATGTGGCAAAATCTATATATCATTTATAATTGGTCAAATTTCATTTTTAATTACATATTTTAATGGACCCACAAGTACTATCCACTTATACACTAATTGTTTCTATCAATTTATAAATTAAGGGGTTGTTTGAGCCACATTATTTTGGTAATAATGCATTCTTGAATAGTGTATTGATGGAAAATGTGTAGTTAAAAAATAAGAAAAAGTTTTTGATCTGCGTGTAATATTATTTTATTGAAAAATGTGTGGCTGAAATGATGTCAAATCATTGTTTAAAAATGTATTTTTTTGGAATAATGTGGTTCAAACAGGCCCTAAATTGTCTATAAATTCTTCCCAAATGGAGGCAAATCTTTGGAGGGAAAAATTAAGACAAGCTTGTTCAATGGAAGCATGCATATGCAACCAAAGACGCAATGAACACCTGCATCCAAGCCAACACTCAAGGATGGGTAGTGCATGGGACCTATGACACAGGTGAGGGGATGTAGGCATGAACAAAGCAAACGACTAAAGATGGGATGCTAAAGGCGACTGACAAAGGGTGCAGGACAACTGGAAATGAGTAGGTGGTGCAGCACCAAAGCCTGCCGGGAAGTGACCGAAAGCTAATGCCGGTGGCTGTCTAGGCTGGTTGGCAACTTGCAAAGTTGGTGGTTCTCTTGAGGGGGTTCCAAAAGAGTTGAGGAACAGTGTGGAACCTTGTGGAATAGGTGAAATTTAGAGCATTCCATGGAAGAATCTTGGAGGAACTACCTAAAAATTGCAAGAGGAGTGGGAAGAGTTCATGCATTCAAAGTAATCCATGGAAGAATATTGGAGGAACTACCTAAAAATTGCAAGAGGAGTGGGAAGAGTTCATGCATTCTCAAGTATTCAAAGTAAGCTTGTTGGGCTTGTACAAGGTTGTTGACCCAACCTTTGTTCTTTAGTAACCTTGTAGAGAAGTCTAGAGAATAGGCCCTTGTTTTGGCTCCATTAAAATGTAATTTTGGAAAAAAAATGTATTTTTGAATAGTAATTTTTTTGGAGAATGTGTGGTTAAAAAGTAAAAAAAAAATTTCGATTTACGCGTAGTACTATTTTATGGGAGAATGTGTGGTTGAAATGTGTTTTGAAAAAATAAGTTTTTGAGAAAGTGAGGGCTAAACATAGGCTACATTTCCACAGTGAAATAAGAAGGATGGCCGCTGTCCAATCTGAAGAGTCGGAACCATAAAAGGCCAAGGGGCCTCATTTGTAATCAAGATGGGTAAGCTTGAAGTTGGTAAAACAACTAGAGAGAGATCATGTGAGAATAAAACTTGTGGGAGAGACAAGAACTCTAGTGAGCACAAGTTGTACTTGGGACAATCTTAATACAAGAGTTGTAGATTTCTTTGTTTTATATTGAGAGATATATATCACAAGAGAGATTAAGCCTCTGTTTGTTTGGCTAAAAATCAGATTTTTAGTAGATTTTAATAAATATTAATGAAATGTCTGTTTAAAAAGTAGATAAAAGTTGAGTCTCATGTAATGTACAGCAAAAATTAATTGTTGACTTTGACTAAAATTTTTATTAACTTTTTTAGCTAAATGAAACAAGGGCCGAAAATGTTCCTGATTTAAAGTCTTGATAAATAGTTTAATAAGATTAAACATCAACTACTAAAGTCTCACTCAGTAGTATAAACATTAAAAGTGATATTACCTTCATGAAGTCGGCTTGAACTAACAAAGAATCCTTTGCGTAGCCTGCTTCCTCTAGAACTTGGGTAAGGACTTCCTATTTTCAAAATTAAAAATGATGTCATAAATAAGCACCACATAACAATTGAAAATCATTTCAGCACACAAAAATGAAATGGAGATCAAAAACTAGTGCAAACCTATAGACAATTTTAACAATATAAAATTTCATATCAAGCATGCAAATGTAAGCTAGGTGGGGATGAGTGGATAACTACCCCACTAGACTTTAGAAGGTTTCATCATCAATTGGGAAGAGGAATTACAATAAACTAGATGGGATGAATTGCGAATATTGCTTCCTATAAGAAGAGTGAAAAAATGAGGGTATGTATGGAAATGGAAGATATAACTATGTAAGAAAATAGTTGAAAAGCTTTGAAATTCCAAATGTAAATCTCCTTTGTGTTGTTCCCAACTTTTCTACTTCCAATTTATTCCTTTTGAAACTTTTAGTTTCCATTTTTTATTCATAAAATTTGCTAGTCAACCAGGATCCCCTAGATTTTTTTAACAGAATACCAATTGTATTAATATCAAAATTAAGATAAATTGTTTATAGAAGATTGGGAATATCCAATATTATGCCACCGTTCAAAATAAGTAGAGGGAGAGTTTATTTCAAGAGTCCAAAACATGCATAAAAAAAAAAAAAAAACTTTTAAAGTCCAACCCCACTTCATGACCAACTTGAAGGTAAAACTCATACAATGATATTGAAAATCGGGTCATATATGCATCATTTTCAAAGTATAAAATCTCGAAAGAACAATCGTAGTATGTTGAAAAAAATCATAAAATTGTAAAAATTCTAGTGTTGTTATCTCATTTCAAAACTTTTACTCTTAACAAAGTCTTGCCAACACTGGATATGTTTATAGCTCCAATCTTAAAGCAACCAACCAAGAGGAAACAGTTCTATTCAAAACTATGGGGAAAATAAGAATATTAGGCTAAGAAGCTCGAAATATGGAGGGGCGCAATCTTTGATTTCTGTTGAGCAGTTTTTAAACTATATTAAGAGGGGGGAAAAATAAATAGATTATGCAGTATTTACCAAATATTGACGACTTTCATATTTGATTAATCCACTATACTTAACTACAATATCCGAACTTATTTTTTTCTTCAATGGATTTTGTATCTTGCCCACATTTTCATTTTTAGTAGCTTCTCCCTCCAGCTATGCCATCAAGTTAAAGTAACTGTTTCTTCACTAATTGGAGCATCTGAAAGTAAATTCTCCACATGAGCAGAGAATTAAGAATTTGTATGGGAGAGATTTTTCCAAGTGAAAATGATTCATTTATTTATTAATTCTTTATTTTTTTTATTTTTTGGAGAATGTATGGTTAAAAAAATAAGGAACCCATAGGCCCCATTTGTTTCCCATTCTTTGGCCACAAAAATGAAAAATATGACCGTTATCCATCACATCAAGCCACTATATTTGATTTTCTCTTTCTCATGTGGGTTTCATAACGGCTATATTTTTTATTCTCATTCTTATAAGAATGGGAATCGAACGGGGGCATAGACTGTGTTTTTGAAAATGATTTTGGAAAAATTCCAAAACAAAGCCTACAAACCTGTTCGGTAGTGATTATAAGAATTTATTTTTTGACAATTAGAGAAAAAAGGAAGCCACCTATGAGTGAAGAAGTAAAAAATGACAATTGAAATAATAAAATAACGGTCAAAAAATCAATTTTTTGGGATGAAAAATGGCTACCAAATGAGGGCTAGGTATGGAAATACAGAAGAATCTAAGAAAACTTCTATCAAATCAAACTTTTTGTGTAGTAACAAGATCATGTAAAAGATTTGTAATTTGTCATTTTCCTTTGCTTTTTAAATGCTTTCTAGTTTCTTGAAACTTAAAGGAAGTTAGTTTTCTCTTCTTTTCATGCACCTTGTCAGCGTTTGACAAATAAGTGATGTTTCTTTCAATGTATGAGAAAATCAGCAAAAGCCTTATTCATGAAACTTTAGCCTCTTTCTTTTATATGGTGTAGGATTTTATTGGTATCTAGGAGTCAAGGCATTTAGCCCAATATACCAAATGAAAGTACATCGATTTTTTTATTCCCAAGGAAGTGCATATCTTACCCGGATCTTCTTCCATAATGGTACGAAACAATAGTGTCATTGGGGGGTAGAAACACAAATTACTTTAAATAAAAGAAGCTAAGTAGGCAGGTTTGTTCGAGTGAAGAGAAAAAAAAAATTGAACTTAAAATATTTTCTACATAATAATTTTGCTAGAGAGATTGATAAGATATCTCAACATAGAGGCATTTTGATACCACCAAGAATAGGAAAACCAAATCCCAAGGAATCCAAGAATTTGATAAATTGGATCACATTGGACATTCCACCTTTCTATGTTCTATATATTTGTATGTAACTATTGAGAATGAAGATGTTCTACATAATGTAAATACTCCATCCAAAAGTTCTTTACCATGTCATTACTCAATTATTAGACACAAAATTTTACTCTTCCCATGTAATTCCTCTAGCATAACATTGCAAGCCAAGCAGAAATTGAGAAAAACATGGACTTTGTAAAGAAAGATAACAACACGAGTGAAATTAACCTCTCTTTGATGTTCAGAAATAAATTGACCAGTCAAGTCACGTAAAATGTCCAGCATTTCATTGAAAGTAACCTTCCCATTACCGTCAGAGTCATAAACCTTAAAAATAACTGGAAAAAAGAGGAAAAGGATATATATGTGTGATTACCAACTAAATGGAGAAAACCGAAACTGTCGAGAGCAAACAAAAAAAAAAAAGAAGGAACAAGCCCATTATTTGGAAAGTCTTACATTCCACTTTCTGCTGCAAGCTTGCCCGAGAGCTAAAAGCAGATAAGAATGCCACGAACTCCTTGAAATTTAGTCCATCCAGCATTCTCAACAACCTCTGGTAAAAATAGTAACAAAACTTGTCAATTTATGAGACTGTGTGCACATGAAAAGCGATATGAAACCGAGCAAACAAGTTATGATTGATGTTTCAGTTTTAACTTAATTTCTTGTGTTGGTGAGTTATCCTCAATTATAAGATATATCATGTTATACGATCTTAGAATCATACAAAGACCATACGCACAAACAATTGAACCGCAGACAAATACACAGTTATGCACAAAAACCCTTTGTCATGATTCTAGAATTGAACCCAATGCTCATTTAAATCTCTTGTTTTAAATTTCTTCATGGTATCAAGAACATCACATCTGCCGGTCTAAGGCTTTTCAACTTTCATTCGCTTCATAGCAAGCACTCTTTTGCTACCTATCCAATCATGATCCCTCAAAATTATCTGTAACTAAAATATCCATTACAATCCTAAGCTCCTAGTCCTAATTTTTTCTTTTTATCCACTTTTTTAGTAATATTTTGCAATAGGAAAATTCTGAACATACTCCTCAATTTGAAACTACCTGTTATCCATTAAAAACTACACGATTAGTTACAAATGCTTTTTGAAAAGCATCCGCCGCAAAAGGTCTTGTAAACTAAAACCATATTAATAGATAGGAATACATTCTAACCAATTACCAAAAAATATAAATTTGCACCAAACTGGAACTAGTAACTAATCCCACCATCGACAGTCTTTTGCTACTTTTCCAGTCACAACCCCTCGATATTATCTATAGCTAAAACATTCAGTTCTCATTCTAGAACTAAATGTTTCATTTTACCTACTCTTGTAATATTGCAATAAGACTCACCGGATTAGGCCGTATAAGGAATTTAATGTAAAAATATAATGGATAGTTTAGATAGATGATATCGTACTGGATTAAGGTGGATAGTATTCTTTAACTTAAAAGATAATTAATTTACTACCAATCTTAAAACATAACACAGATTGGGGTTGAATTTAGGCAGGAAAAGAAAATATTAGTTAAAGATATTATTTTGAATGAAAAAAAAAATACTATTTAACTTTAATCCCTTCTACTTGGTAATATCCATTAAACTTTTTTGTTAAATTCCTTATATAGTCTAATCCGGTGTGACAAACATAACCTAAACATTCTTGCAATGTAGAAAGGATAGCCACTTTTCTAGTCCAACTGCTGTTTGTTGTCAACTTGATCCTTCCACACGAAACTATGGTACAAATTCTGTTTTCTCATTAAACCGAGAACTGCTTCAAATTGGAGAGGTTGAATATTGAACAAGAATTACAATTGTATACAAATTCTAATCCTTTGATTGAGTAAATTATACAATCATTTTTTATATGCTAAGGCTCTAGATCCATGTATGCACCTTTTTAATGAAATTTATATCTCACCATGCTCCCAATGAAATCATTTGTTTTAATTTTCCAGCACCCTATTAGAGGCCAAGGCAAGTTTTAAACCTGTCCTGTCACCTTTATCACATCCCTAGCTCTCTTCCTCAGTGCAACTATCCTATTCTTACCAAGAATGTTTTATGTAATGGAGGACGTTGCGTTTGGAAATAGCTAGAGGTTGGAAAGGAGGAGAATTCCTCACAGCTAGCTTAACTGAAATACACCCGTGTCAGAAAGAAGAGATTTTTGTGTTGAAATTCGAAATCCTAACTTCTGAAGGCTCAGAAAATAAACTTAAGCAACTTCCGCATCATTGATGACAACGTCATTATCGAGTACATTGATTGGGACTCGTTTTTTGTCTCAATATGCCATTTCGCTCATAGGACTGTCAAATTCAAAATTACAAAATTCTAAATCATTATCAGTTCTTAAAACTTTAATATTTACAACCATTTGATTTTCAATTAAAATTTTCCAATTTTTGAATTTTTCAGAAGTTTCTGAGGGTCTGCAACCATTATGTGGCATAAGGGCCTTTATTTGAGGCACAAACTGGAGAATTTATCCTGAATTCAGTCTTATACATACACGAGGAAAGCAATCAAAAGAAAGAAGATATGTTTTAAAAGAAAAATCCACACCTTTCTTTAAAAAAAATCAATTATTGAAAGAAAATACTTGTTCCCACTTTGAGTGGTGGTGGAGGCAAGGCCCCACAAATCGGAGTGAATATATGCAAGTAGAGAAGTGGTTCTGTGTTTTTCAGAATTGTAATGCAATCTATGGTATTTTCCAAGCGTGCAATTTTCACAAAAAGGTATTTTTTATATTAATTTTTTTCCAAACACTTCCCTTATGCGTAAAATAGTAAGACCCTTTTCACTCACATTAACTAATCTCTTATGCCATTTTAAGGTGGAACCAGGTTTAACACTAAACACTAGTAGTATTCTCAAACATTGTTTCAATCCTAGAAATGTTAGATTTTATGCACAATAATAAAGAGATAAAAAAGAAAAATCAACCCAAAAATTTACGTGGTTCGGCGGTGTGCCTACATCCACGAGATCGCTCCACTCCAACCTCGGCTTATTTGATTCAAGATTTGTGTTCCACTCTATATGAGTCACATGCACAACAAGCAACATAAATGTCATTTTTCTGGACTCCTTTGAAGATGACACGGGATCCTTTAATCACCTTCATCATGCCATCTCCGGTTCTTACCACATATCCCTTGGTCATCTAATTCTCCCATTGAGATTAGATTTCTGTTGAGTTCAGGTACATACTTAGCTCTTTCAAGGGTATACATGTAGCCATTTTCAAATTTAAAGTTACAATACCTAATCTCTCAACCTTACATGCAATATCATTTCCCATCACTACTTCTCCACCACTTATCTTCTTAAAATTTTGAAGCTAAGACCATTCATGTGTGATATGAAAAGTGCAGCCAAAATCCAAGATCCATTCTTGGACATGCTGTTTATTATCATCATAATTTACCAATTCCATATCAGACCCTGGTGACTAAGTACGCATCAACAATATTAGGTTTAGCTTGTTCAATCACATTTCCCTCATCTATTTTCTTATCCTTTTATTCATTTTTCTTATTGTGTCGATCTTCTATATAATGCCCCATCTTGCCACAACCATAGCACTTCATATTCCTTGATTTAGATTTTGACCTTGACTTACACTCCTGAATTTCTTCTTATTGTTATTTTCTAAAGGATTCTGATTCATCTGTGTATCATTTTGCCTATTTAATTGTTATCTCTCATGAATAGGCTCTTTGTTTCCATCCCATGTTTTTTAGTTTTAAGTTCTAATTCTTTAATTCTTAAAGAATTTACAACATCAGTAGTCAAAGTATCCCTGCCATACTTAATGGCAATTTTAACATCTCTGTATACCTCTGGTATCGCATTAAGGAGTATAATTGTCTTATACTCAGATATCTTATCCCCAACATTAGTGATATCTTGTACCAATTTATTAAAAGTATCAAAATTATCATCTAATTCTTTGGATGAATCAATCTTAAAAAGGAGGAAGTTTGTTAGGCAGTGATTTAACTGAGTAAAGATCTTCTAGTTTGTCCCACAAAGCCTTGGTATTGTCAAGTTTTCCAACTTTCCTTAACACTTGATCAGCAGGTAAAGGATAATGGAAGTATATGCCAGTCCATCAAACTCAGTTTTTTGATCTGCAATCATTGTTTTTGGAAATTCAACAGTAGTTGCCTTAGATACTTTATGTTAGACTAAACCCCCCTCATCTTTTGTTGCATGATGGACCCCTGGTTAAGTTCACCTACGCAAGAAGAAGAAAAGGATAGGATGCTATGACTGATTCAGCTTCAGTCAGTTAGTTGTATAGGGGTAAATTGGGAAGAATCATGTAATGGGGTAGGGGTAAATTAGGAAAAGTCTCTTGTAAGGGAATGAAAATAAATGTATTGCGGGGGAATTTGGGAGGGGCAACACGTTTACTCTGTTGAGTCATTGGGAGAGTCCAGGCCTCTCAAAAGCCTTGGAGCTGTCCCAATTTTCTTCTTATCTTCCAATAAATCAGTTTACATTCTTGTGTCACTTTCCTCTTGTTTGCATACTGGTGGAAATATTATTCTGTTGCTGTTTCAGAGTGACGAAGTCGACTTCTAACCCTTTCTCTTGGTGTGACCATGGTTGGTGCAGTTAGAAACCATTGAGCAGCATTCCGGAATCAGCAACTCAGATCAGGTACCTATCAAATCTGGTATCAGAGCGGTTATCTTGGGAAAATGACGTTAACAGATAGAGTGGGGGTTTTGGAAGCGAGGATCGAAGGAATCCATGGTGAGCTACAAGAAGGAATGGGTATTATGAAATTGGAATTACAAAGGGATATGTTAGAAATGGAGGAGAAATTTGAATTGATGATGAGGAAATGGGAAGGAAGCGAGAGGGAAAGGAAGGAGAAGGGAATAGCCGAGAACTCAATGGATTCGACGGTTGTCTCAAGGGAGGCTCCAAAATCTGTGGCAGTGGAAGTCAGAAATGAGGGCAAGAGTGGGAATGGGGAATTCGGAAGGAACGACACTCAGGGAAGGAGATTGGAATTGCCCACCTTCGACAGAGACAATCCGAATGGATGGGTCTTCCGGGCAGAGCGGTATTTCAATATAAATCAGCTGACAAGTGGGGAGAAAATCGAAGCAACAGCCGTGTGTTTTGAGGGTGACGCACTTGCCTGGTTCCAATGGGAAGACAGCCGACGAGCAATGAGGAGCTGGGAGGAATTGAAACAATTGTTGCTAGAGCATTTTCGACCTTCTCAGGAGGGGACTAATTTAGAGAAATTTTTGGTGCTCAAGCAAGAAGGGACGGTGAAGGAGTACCAATGGAACTTTGAGGTGTTGGTCGCCCCGTTGTCGATGGTTCCAAAGGCAGTACTGGAACGAAACTTCACTAACGGGTTAAAGGCAAAAATATGGGCTGAGATAAGGATGCATAAGCCCAAGGGTTTGGGCCCAATCATGGAATTGGCCCAACGTGTGGAGGATCGAAATGAGTATATCAAATAGGCCCAGCTGGGGGTCGGCCCAAATAAAATGA